AATAATGAAACTGCAGAAATGAATGAAGGTCCCTTAAAAAGGTTAATATGTAGGAAAATATAAAATTGCTGACTATTTAAAGCAATAATAAATACCTCACATGTAATTAAAACATGTGTCGAAGGGAGGATTCTGGGAAGATGGCAGAATAGGAAGCACCAGGAATCTGTCTCCCCACCTAGACAACAATTGCACTGGCAGAATCTGATGCAATTGTTTTGGAACTCTGGAGTCTACTAAAGGTGTGCAACCTCTGAGGGAAGCCTTAGACAGTAAATTGAAGTTAATTTTGGTCAATACCAGTTCTTATTACCATAGTAGCTCCCCATCTCCCACCCCTGTGGCAGGCAGCTGTGCATGGGTCCTGGAGCCGCTTGCACACAGCTTGCAGGAGCCAGGGCAGGGAAAAAAGAACCCTGTCCTCCAGATACTGGGGATCTGTGCTCTCTCTGATCACTGATTGCTCCTCCTGATGATAGAGGTCCAGACAAATAAGACAGGCAGCCATTATTGCTGGACCTCCCCCACAGTGTTATAAGCCCCACCCCCTACAGCTGAAGTGCCTTCCAGGGGATTTAAAGGGCCAGCACCCCTCCCTCCCCTTAATTTTATTCTTCTTCCCTTTTGGAGAGCCAGACATTAAAAGACTAGGACAGGGCTTCCCCGGTGGCGCAGCGGTTGGGAGTCCGCCTGCCGATGCAGGGGACGCGGGTTCGTGCCCCTGTCCGGGAAGACCCCACGTGCCGCGGAGCGGCTGGGCCCGTGAGCCACGGCCGCTGAGCCTGCGCGTCCGGAGCCTGCGCTCCGCGACGGGAGAGGCCACAACGGTGAGAGGTCCGCGTGCCGCGAAAAATAAATAAAAGACTAGGACATTTAAAAACAACTGCATATAAAGGGAAAATTAGAAAGTGACTGTGCATGCCCACAGAAAGGCATAGAAAAGACCTAAGAAGACCTTAAATTTACACCTCAGGCACAGAGACCGACTACAGAAATCAAAAAACCAAAAGCAATAAACAGAAACAATAACATGAAACAGCAAAGCCTGGAGAAGCAGGAGAAGCGGATTTCCGGTCCCCGCTCGCCACAGCTAGAGAAGCCCACACAGCAACGGGGACCCAGCACAGCCCAAAATGAAGCAAATTTATTCTTAAAAAGTTAGCTGTGTAAAAAACAAGGAAGTCCCTTCTTATCAGTTATTACTTTTAATGTAAGTGGATTAAACCCTCCAATCAAAAGACATAGATCTGCAGAATGAATTAAAAACACATGATCCAGCCACATGCTGTCTAGAAGAGACTCACTTTAGATCTAAAGACACAAATAGACTGAAAGTAAAAGGATGGAAAAGATATTCCATGCAAACAGTAACTAAAGAGAGGAGATGTGGCTATACTAATATCAGACAAAATAGACTTGCAGTCAAACAGGTTACCAGAGATAAAACGAAGGACATAATATATTAAAAAAGGTTACATCTTCAGCAAGAAGACATGACAATTATAAAAATTTATGCATCTAATGACAGACCATCAAAATACATGTAGTAGAAACTGACAGAATTGAAGGGAGAAATAGACAGTTCTACAATAACTGGAGACTTCAATACCCCACACTCTCAATAATGAATAAAAGAGCAATACAGAAGATAAGGAAATAGATGACTTAACACAGTAAATCAACTAGATCTAACAGAAACATACAGAACACTCCACCCAACAGCAACATACACATCGTTCTTAGGTGCACATGAGACATTCTCCAAGATAGACCATAAGTTAGGCCACAAATTAACTCTTAATAGTTTCTAAAAGATAGATATCGTACAAAGTATCCTCTCTGATCACAACGAGATGAAGTTAGACATCAATGACAGAAGTACAACTGGAAAATTCACAAATCTGTGGAAATTCAACAACAGTTTCTTAAACAACCAATGGATAAAAGTAGACACCAGAAGAGAAATTAGAAAATACTTAGAGATAGGAACTTCCCTGGGGGCGCAGTGGTTAATAATCCACCTGCCATTGCAGGGGACATGGGTTCAAGCCCCGGTCTGGGAAGATCAAGCATGCCACGAAGCAACTAAGCCCGTGCGCCACAACTACTGAGCCTGCGCTCTAGAGCCCACGAGCCACAACTACTGAGCTCGTGTGCCACAACTACTGAAGCCCGTGCGCCTAGAGCCCCGGCTGTGTGACAAGACAGGCCACCGCAATGAGAGCCTGTGCACCGCAACAAAGACCCAGTGCAGCCAAAACTAACTAACTAAATAAATAAATTTTAAAGAAAAAAGAAAATACTTAGAGATAAATGAAAATTAAAACACAACATGTCAAAACTTATGGGATGTAGTGAAAACAGTACCAAGGCAAAAATGTAGAGCTACAAAGGCTTACATTAAAAAATGAGAAAAATCTCAAACCAATGACCTAACTTTACAGCTTAAGAAACTAGAAAAAGAACAAACTAAACCCAAAGGTAGCAGGAGGAAGGAAATAATAAAGATTAGAGCAGAATTCATCAAAATAGAAAAACAATAGAGAAAATGAATAAAACCAAAAGTTGCTTCATTGAAAAGATCAACAAAGTAGATGAACTTTTAGCTAGATGGACTCAGGAGAAAACAGAGAAAACTCAAGTTACTAAAATGAAAAATGATATTAGGGACATTACTACTGATTTTACAAAAATAAAAAAAGATTATAAGAGAGTACTATGGACAGCTGGACACCAATAAACTGGATAACTTAGATGAAATACACAAATTTCCAGAGACACAAAACCTACCAAGACTAAATCATGAGGACACAGAAAATATGAAGAGACCTATAACAACGAAGGGGCTTGACTCAGTAATCAAAACTCTCCCAACAAAGAAATGCCCTAGACGTGATGGCTTTACTGGTGAAATCTACCAAACATTTAAAGAAGTCCTTCTCAAACTTTTCCCCAAAATTGAACAGCTAATAAATGAATTCAGCAAAGTAGCAGAATACAAAGTCACCACGCAAAAATCAGTTGCATTTCTATTTCTCTTTTTAATTCTGTGATTGTTTTATATATTCTGATGCGGTATTCACTACATCCAAGTCCAGATTGCTTTGATTCCTTTGATTGGATTCTTTTATTATGAAATACCCTCTTTACGTCTATTAATACCTCAAATTCAGTTGGAGATTTTAACTAGGCTCTCTCAGTATCTCAGAGAACAAGCAGGCAAAATAATCAGCAAGAATATAGATTTGAATCACTAACTTGACTTAATTGACACTTTTAATAACACACCACCTAGCAATGCAGATACACATTGTATTCAAGTGTAAATGAAACAGTTACCAAAACAGATCAGTGCTGATCAGGGCTGAAAGCAAGTTCCGCCAGAATTCATGTTTATTTTTTATTCACAGTGAATATCTGTATACAAAAAAAGAACCTTGATCCTTATCTCTTATCTTACTCAAAAGTTAAGATTAATTAATCATGAAAAGCTAAAAGTGAACGGAAAAACAGTAAAACATGTACAAGAAATCATAGGGGAACATCTTGAATAGTCAAAGATTTCTTAACCAGCACCCAACCTACCATAATAGGGGAAAAAATGAAAACAGTGGACCTCATCAAGAAATTCCATTGAAAGGTAAAAAGACAAGTCATGAACCGGGAGAAGGTATGCTTAATGCACATCTCCAGCAAAGGACTTGGTGACGAAAATGTAGAGAACTCTTAGAAATCAACTTTATAAACAGAGAACCAACCTCTTTCTCTTTAATAATCAAAAGATTTGAATAAGCACTTCACGAGAGAACATAGCCCAATGGCCAGTAAGCATATGAAACTATGTTCATCACCATCGGTCATCAGAGAAACGCAAACTAAGACCACGATGAGACGACGAAGGGGAAATGAAAAAGTGTGACAGTGCCGAGGGCTGTCCGCGGCGCGGGGAGTGGGGCGCGTGGACACGAATCACGGCTGGCTTATGAAGCTGCACAGCCACTTTGGGAATTGTTTAAAACTGGTGGTATCCCACCTGCCCATCCACAGCAGAAGGAGTAAGGGCTCTGTGGTCTATTGAAAGGGTGGGATTCCGCACAGCAACAGAAAAGAATGAGCTTCTGCACCAACTTGGATAAATCTCACAGGTCTTGTGTTGAGACAGCCCGGCCTGTATGATTCCATGAATATGAAATTCCACAGCAACATTGGTGGAGGTGGTGGGAGTCAGAGGAGGTGTGACCTCGGTGGGGCCCTGCCTGGGAAGGGTTACTAGCGGGGCTGGAGGGCTGGGAGTGTCCTTTATCTTGATCTGGGCGGTGGCTACACAGTGAGCACATTTGCGGACTTGCATCCTCCTGGACAAATACCAACAGCACATGGCGCGCCCTTTACCATATTTACATCCAGTAAAGAAGAAAGTACTTGATCCAAAGAAGGAAAGGAGTAAAACAACAGAAACGACCCGGGATGCTGCGTGTGCACTGCAGGCAGACCCTCGAAAACAAGGGCACCAGCTTTGCTGCCATGTTCCCTCGGCGGACAGCTGCTCCCACCGCGGGTGCTGGCCCGCCCCTGCCCCAGCTTCTCGCTGTCGGCCACTGTGAGAGGTCGCAGACCTCCGCAGAGGGCCCCTGGATAGTGAGGGGAAATTGAAGGTCGTGGAGTCAGGAGGCCTGGGCCAAGCAACGGCCCTGCCAGTCCCGACCACCCAGAGCCAGCCAGGCAGCCTGGCCGCGAAGGGGACGCCCACGGCGGCTGTGGCCCCAAATGACGCAAAGGACACGCAGGGTGCGCAAGGTGCCACAGGCTCGCCCAGCCGTGTCATCCTATCAGCCAACAGGGGCCTGGGCAGGCATCCAAAAAGGGACCCCAACTCCCAGACAGGCGCCCCAGACGTCCCAGGGGCCAACATCCCCAGACAACCCCTAAAGCCCACCCGGCATCCTCTGGATAACGCGAGCACTGGGCAGGCCCCAGAGGGCGCCAACCAGGCGTCTTACTGGATGAGCGTGCAGTACTGCTGGGTCAGGTCCTTCCACTCGTCCTCCGTGAGGTCCTTGGCGGCGGCGTCAGAGAGGTCGATGTCTTCGTGCTCCAGCCACCCCAGGTAGGCCTCACACGCCCTGCACGCGATGTCCACCAGCTGCCCTGAGAGGCCTGTGAACCTCGATCCCGTGCTCTCAGGAACTGAAACCCAAGGACAAGCACGTGGGGCGTGGGCCACCACCCACCCCCATGCAGTGGCACCACTGGGGGCACAGGCAAAGGCCACCCCACCTGTCTGTGCCTCAGGGTCTCACGGTGAGGGCTCTCGCTCCTCTGGGCAGCCGCCCTGGATGCCACACCTGGGCCTGGGCAGGTAACCTTTTCCCCTCCAAAAGCTGCCCCCCACTGCACCGGGCCCCCTCCCACCCGCACCCTCCGACTAGCCTCTCAGCCCCTGGGGTGGGAATGAAACAGCACTTCTGATGAGCTCTCCACAAAACCTCTGCTTCTGAGCACATACTTGGTCCTCAGTGAGAAAAGAACAGGTATTCGTGGACAGCCCTGCAGTGATGCCTGCCAGCCCTGCGGGAGGCTGGGGGGAGCACCTCCCTGTACGTCTGGCACTTCTCAGAGCCCCAGCACGTGTGGGCTTTGTGGCTCTGCGCATCCGACCTGTCACACAGCAGCCTCTCCTCCCGGAGCCCGTGAGCCAAGATCGCTGTTGGTCTGGGGAGCACTGAACACAGGGAGGCCCCCGCCCGGGTGAAAGCAGGCCTCATGCACTTGGCCCCCACCTCACATGGCGGCCTGCCCCCCACACAAAGCCAGCGGTCCCCAGGCTGGATGCGGAGATGGGGTGAGAGCTGAACCCTGTCGTGGGGCTATGGGGCAGGAGCCTGCAGAACAAGGCTGCTTGGAAGGTGTATGGAGACACCTGCACAAGCCCCAGGCACAGCCACTGAGATGGCAGCCCTGATGGACCCAGCGGCCGCCAGCGAGCACGGACCCGGGAGAAAGCGCTCGAGCTTTGTGGTTGCTGTGGAGATTTCAACATGCATTTCTTAAATGTGCTGAGGTGAAATTCACAAAATATAAAAATAACCATTTTAAAGTGAAAATTCACTTCTGGTGTCCAGCATGTAAGGAGCCTGGAAGCTGCCACTCCACCCCAACAGCAGGTGAAAACCTGAACAGACCGGAAAATCGCCAGGTGTTCTTAGATCTGTCGGAGAACTGAGGTCACAGGGCAAAAGCCTGCCCCAAATTGGCGAGACGGATGGGCAGGTACAGAGAGTCACCAGAGCAGAAACCTCTGTGGGAGCCTGCACCAGGGAAGGAAACCCACCTGCTGCAATGGACGAGTTGCTGGAGGCTCAGCGTGGACAATCCTGAGACTTAGAAACCCCAGGGCTCATCTTTAGGGGGCCCCGTACTTTTGTCAGTTTTACCTCCAAGAGTTTGGCCTGGGGGTCACAGTGAGTATTGGAGGAAAATCCCCTTGTGCTTCTGGCAGGGAGAGGAGGAAAGGAACGCTGTTCTTAACAAGGCTGCCCTCAGGAGAAATAGTTACCAGAGCGTGACCTGCCAGGGTTTGATCAGGGCCTAACCAATGCCGGGGCAGGAAAATACCCAGCTCCACCGCCTCTAGCCATCCTGTCCCACCAAAGGGGGATAAAAGGAGAAGCGGTGGTGAAGTTCACAGTCCAAGGGCACAGGCTCACCAAAGACTGGGACCTGCTCACAGGGCTGCAGAGGGCACAGGCTCACCAAAGACTGGGACCTGCTCACAGGGCTGCAGAGCACTGTATCAGACAAAAAAAAAAAAGGAGGGGATTTTTTTGCCAGTAGACTTGGCTTGCAAGAAATGTTAAAAGAAGGAAGTCCTTAGGAGAGAAAAAAAATGGCATAAATCAGAAACTCAGATCCACATAAAGAAAGGAAGAGCATTAGAGAAGGAATAAATAAAGGGAAAATTAAAAGTTTACTTTTTTAATCCTTAATTGATCTGACAGAACATCATAATTTAATACTTATTATTAAAAATTAAAATAGAAAAAATGTATCCAGATTATAGCTTATGGATAGGTGAAATAAATGACAGCAAAGATACAGGGCACAGGAGGAAGGAATTAGGAATATTTTGTTATAAAATATTCCCATTACTGTAAAGTGGTCAATGTTACTTGAAAATGCAGTTCGATTCATTGTAAGTGTATACTGCAAACTATAGGACAACCACTAAAAAAATTTATATATATCTATATATATCTGCTATGCTAGGAAAAGAAATAAAATGAAATCATACAAAATGCTCAATTAAAACCACAAGAGGCAGAAAAAGAGTAGAAAAAAATAGGAACAAAGGACAAGGGCAACAAATAGAAAACAGTAATAAATATGGTAGCTGTTACTCCAACCATATCAATAATCACTTTAAATGTCAATGATTAAATGTATCAATTAAAAGAGATTATACGGTGATCAAACAATAAGACCCAACTGTATGCTTTCAACAAGAATTCCACTGTAAATAAAGACACATATAGATTAAAAGCAAAGGGATGGAGAGAAATATACCCTGCTAACACTAATAAAGGAAAGCAGGAGTATCTATTTTAATTTCAGACAGAACAGACTTCAGAGCAAGGAAAACTATTAGGGATGAAAAGAATGTTACATGACGATGAAGGGGTCAATACACCAAGAAGGCAGAGCAATTCTTAACATGTATGTGCCTAACAACAGAGCATCAAAATACATGCGGCACAAACTGATAGAACTTCAGGGAGAAATAGATGAGCTCTATTAGAGTTGGAGACTTCAACACCCGTCTCTCAGAGCCAGCAGGCAGAAAATCAGTGAGGACGTAGCTGAACTCAATAGCACCTTCAATCAACTGGGTATAATGGACATCTATACACTACTCGATCCAACAACAGCAGGATACACATTCTTCTCAAGCTCATTTGGAACAGTTCCCCAAATAGGTCACTTTTGGGCCATAAAACACACCTTAACAAATGTAAAAGAATAGAAATCATAAAATATATGCTCTCAGACCGCAGTGGATTAAACTAGAAATCAAAAGATACAGATAGCTGTAAAACTCCTCAAGTATGTGGCGATTAAACAACCCCTCATCTAATAACACATGAGTCAATGAAAAGAATCCCAAGAAAAATTTTAAATATTTAGAACTGAATGAAAATAAAAATACAATTCATCAAAATTTGTGGGATGCAATGAAAGCAGTGCTTAGAGGGGAATTTATAGCACTGAATGCATATATTAGAAATGAAGAAAGATCTGAAACTAAAAAAGAAGATCAAACTCAAAATAAACAGAAGAAAATAAATAATAAAACTTAGACCAGGGACTTCCCTGGTGGCACAGTGGTTGAGAATCCGCCTGCCAATGCAGGGGACATGGGTTCAATCCCTGGTCCGGGAAGATCCCACATGCCACGGAGCAACTAAGTCCGTGTGCCGCAACTACTGAACCTGTGCTCTAGAGCCCGCGAGCCACAACTATTGAGCCCACGTGCCGCAACTACTGAAGCACACATGCTTAGAGCCCCTGCTCCACAACAAGAGAAGCCACTGCAGTGAGAAGCCTGTGCACCGCAACAAAGAGTAGCCCCCACTCGCTGCAACTAGAGAAAGCCCACGTGCAGCAACAAAGACCCAACACAGCCAAAAATAAATAAATAAAATAAACAAATTAGAAAAGAAACAAACTTAGACCAGAAATCAATGAAATTGAAAATGGGAAATCAATAGAGAAAATAAGTGAAACCAAAAGCTGGTTCTTTGAACGCATCAATAAAATTAATAAGCCTTTAGTCAGGTTAACTAAAAACAAAAAAGGGTAGATGACATAAATTACTAATATCATAAAACTAAGAGGAGACATCACTACAGATCTCATGGACATTAAAAGGATAATAAAGGAATACTATGAACAACTTGATGCCGATGAATTTTATAATCTAGGTGAAATGGACTGATTCTTTGAAATATACAATCTGCCAAAGCTCAAAGAAGAAGAAATAGACAATCTGAATAGTCCTATACCTATTAAAGAAATCGAATCAATGGTTAATAACTTTCCAAAACAGAAGGCACCAGTCCTAGATGGATTCACAGGTGAATCCTACCAAACATTTAAGGAAAAATGTATACCAATTCTCTACAATCTCTTTCAGATGATAGGAGCAGAGGGAATACTTTGTAACTCATTCTCTGTGGCCAGCATTACCCTAATACCAAAACCAGACAATGGTATCACAAGAAAAGAAAACTGTTGACCAAAATCTCTCATGAACATATTTGCAAAAATCCTCAACAAAATATTTGCAAATTAAATCTAACAATTTATAAAAAGAATTATACACCATGACCAAGTCATATTTGTCCCAGGTATGCAAAACTGGTTCAGCATTCAAGAATCAATTAATGTAATCCATCATACCAACAGGCTAAAGAAGAAATATTACATGATCATATCAATAGATGCAGAAAAAGCACTTGACAATATTCAACACCCACTTATGATAAAAACTCTCAACAAACTAGGAATAGAGGGGCTTCCCTGGTGGCACAGTGGTTGAGAGTCTGCCTGCCGATGCAGGGGACACAGGTTCGTGCCCCGGTCCGGGAGGATCCCACATGCCGCGGAGCGGCTGCACCCGTGAGCCATGGCCGCTGGGCCTGCGCGTCCGGAGCCTGTGCTCCGCAATGGGAGAGGCCACAACAGTGAGAGGCCCGCATACCACCAAAAAAAAAAAAAAAACAAACAAAAGAACTAGGAATAGAACATCAAGTTGAATATCCTCAACTTGATAAAGAATATCTACAAAAAACCTACAGCTAACATTATACTTAATGGTGGGAAACTAGAATCTTTCCTACTAAAATCAGGAGCAAAGCAAGGATGTCCTTTCTCACCACTCCTTTTCAACATCATACTAGAAATCCTAGCTAATGCAATAAGACAAGAAAATTAAAAGTATACAAATTGGGAAAGAAGAAATAAAACTGTTTTTATTCAGAGATGACATGATTGTCTAGGTAGGAAATCTAAAAGAATTAACAACAAAAAAAACTTCTGGAACTAGTAAGTGGTTATGGTCAATCACTTTCCTATACACCAGCAATTAATAATTGGAATTTGAAATTAAAAACAAAATACCATTACATTAGCACTCCAAATATGAAATAAATACATAATTAAATAAATCTAACAAAATATGTACAAGATCTATATGAGGAAAAGTACAAAACTCTGGTTACTTAAATCAAAGAAGAACAAATTAATGGAGAGATATTCTGTGGTCATGAATAGAAAAAACTCATTGTCAAGATGTCAGTTCTTCCCAACTTGATCTATAGATTCAAAGCAATCCCAATCAAAATCTCAGCAAGTTATTTTGTGGATATTGAGCAACTGATTCTAAAGTTTATATGGAGAGGCAAAAAAATCCAGAATAGCCAACACAATGTTGAAGGAGAACAAAGTTGGAAGATTGACACCATCTAAATTTGAGCTTTACAATAAATCTACAATAATCAAGATAGTGTGGTATTGGTGAAAAAGAGACAAATAGATCAGTGGAATAGAGAGCCCAGAAATAGACCCACACAAATATAGTCAACTGATCTTTGACACAGGCACAAAGGCAATACAATGGAGCAAAGATAGTCTTTTCAAACAAATGGTGCTGGAACAAATGGATATCTGCAGGCAAAAAAAAATAGAACCTATAGACCTTACACCCTTCATAGAAATTAACTGAAAATGGATCATAGACCTAAGTTGAAACACAAAGCTATAAAACCCCTAGAAGATAACATAGGAGAAAACCAAGATGAACTTGAGTATGATGACGACTTTTTAGATACAACACCAAAGGCACAATCTGTGAAAAAAATAATTGATAAGTTGGACTTCACTGAAATTTAAAACTTCTGCTCTGTGGAAGACATCATCAACAGAATTAGAAAACAAGCTGTAAAGTTGGAGAAAATATTTGCAAAAGATACATACACTAAGGTACTGGTATCCAAAATACGCAAAGAACCCTTAAAACTCAACAATAAAACAAACACCCCGATTTAAAACTGGAGGGAAGCTGAACAGACTTCTCACCAAAGAATATATACAGATGGCAAATAAGTATATTAAAAGATGTTTAACATCATATATTGTCAGGGGAATGCAAATTAAAACTACAATGAGATACCACTACACACCTATTAGAATAGCCAAGATCCAGAGCACTGACATCACCAAACGCTCACCAGGATGTGGAGCAACAGGAACTCTCATCATTGCTGGTGGGAACACAAAATGGTGTAGCAACCACTTTGGAACACAGTTTGACAGTTGCTTACCAAACTAAACATACTCTTGCCATATTATCCAGCAGTCGTGATCCTTGGTATTTACCAAGTGAGTTGAAAACTTACAGCTGCACAAAAGCCTGTATGCAGCTTTAATCATAACTGCCAAGACTTGAAAGCACCCAAGATGTCCTTCAACAGGTGACAGGATGAACAAACTCTGTTCCATCCAGACAGTGGAATGTTAGGCAGTGCTAAAGAGAAATGAGCTATGACTTAAGGAGGGATTTGAGGAGGGACCTTGAATGCACATTAGTAAGTGAAAGAAGCCTGTCTGAGTCATATATACTGTATGATTCCAACTGCATGACATTTTGGAAAAGGCAAAGCTGTGGCGACAATAAAAAGATAAGATGTTGGGGGAAGGAGGAATGAACAGGCTGAGCACAGAGGACTTTTAGCTCAGTGAAACTACTCTGAAAGATACTATATCAGTGGATGCATGTCATTATACATTTGTCCAAACCAAGAGGGAAACCTGATGTAAACTGTGGGGTCTGGGTGATGATGACGTGTCAGTGTAGGTTCATCACTTTTAACAAATGGACCATCTGGACGAGGATGTTGACACGGGAGGAAAGGGCAGAGGGTACACGCGACACCTGTACCTCCTGCTCAACTTCGCTGTGGACCTAAAACTGTTCTGTGAAAGTGAATAACAACAAAAAGGACTTATTTGGGTCTTGTAGGCCTAAACCCACGGTGGCCCACGACTCCCTACATGACCCAGGAGCGCCATTCCCATGGCATTCTGCTGGAGGAGACTGGGGGTCGGGGCAGAGCTGCAGCCCCACCCTGGATGCACAGCTCCACGGCCCCTCCCATCACTGTCCTCCCCGGGGTGCCACGGCCTTGGCCACGCCAAGGCGGCACACACATTGCTTGTTGCTGGGGTCACTGTCACCGGCCTCTTCCCTCCAGCCCTTGGGTGCGCTCCTGCTGCGGTTCTGGTGGCTGACCACCCACTTGAGGATGCTGGAGGCCACCGTGCGCCGGAAGTCGTCTGAAAGGACATCGAGGCCTCACCCCCGTGCCTGCGCTGGGGACGGGGACTCAGCCAGCGCCAGCTTTTCCCAGCCCGGGCATCCCACTGCGTGCGGGGGCCTCACTCCTGCCTCAGAGCCCTCCGGGGGCCGGGCGCTCCCCCACTGCCCACACCCTCCACCTCCACACTCATCCTCCCTTCTCTGTGGAGGGGAGTCTCATCCACCCCAGCTGTGCATCCACCCTGCCTACAGGCCCAGAGGCAGAATCCACGCACCCCATTTCCTGCCCCTCTCCTGCACCCCAGGGCCACGGTCTGTGGGCACCGTCACCACCTCTCCCTGCCCCCGTGTCCTCAGCCCTGCACAGAGGGATCCTTCTAGAAGAGCCCCCTGCTGACAGCACCGGGACCCTCCCCATCACACGAGCCCCTCCGGACCTTCCTGGACATGTTGGCTCCCACCGCTCTAACTGTGGGTGGCTGGGGGCCCTGCTGTATCCACCAGCGCAGAGGCAGCTCAGGATCCCCCAGACCCAGGCTTGGGGTCAGGCTGCCTCTGAGCGCCTGTCACATGCCAGGGGCAGCGGCCAGGGGAGGCGAGCCTCCGTGAGGGGCCTGGGAGGCGAGGCTGCTCCCCACCCCAAGTAGCTGGATATTCCAGCAACTTCTCTCCCAAACCTGCTCCTTCCCCACCTCAGCTGAGGCCACCCTACCCGTCATCCACCTGCCTGGCAGCTACTGCTGCCCTGGAAACACGCAGAACCTAAGCCCCCCACGCAGCCCCTCACCCACCCGCCTCCGTCCATCAGAACACACGCTCCTGAGATCACCAGCCCCTCTGCCCGAGGACGTGCGGGCACACTGCCTGCTGCCAGCCGCCCTCAGCCCCCCTCTCCTCTGGGTCTCCACCCGGCGCCCCATCTTGCGAGGCCCCTGCTCACGGCCCTGCCCCCACTGCACTTCTCATCTCTGCCCCCGCCCCGATCCTGCCTTGCCCTGCATCCGGCCATTGGCTCCTGGGAGCCCCGGCCTGGGGTCAGGGCACAGGGCAGGGGTGCTGGGCAGATGCCGCTCTCTACAGCCCCCCAGACGGGTGCTCAGGAAACACGGGTCCCCCCCCGAACGACCCCCTCCCTGCCTGCCCTGCCCTTCTCTATCCTGTGCCTCCAGGCAGATCGAACCAGGGACCAGCCTTTGTCCCCAGCCCAGAGCCCGTCGTCCCCGTGTGCCCCAGGCACCCGGACCCGGGCCCAGCACCATCACCGTGCCGGCCTCTCCCAGAAGCCCCGTCAGAACCAAGCTGCTGACACTTGGCCTCCTGCCTTGCAGACGCTGCCCATGGAAGTTTCTAGACTGGCTCCTACCACGTGAAACAGAGCTGAGGTCCCAGGTGCTGGGATGGGACCGGGCCCTCCCCCATCACCCCACCCCCACC